TGACAAGTTATCTCTTTATCTCTGTAAAATTCTCTTACTTAGTTTGCTCTACTTTTCTTGATGATGTTGCCAATCTTTTAATCAATTTAAATAATACAAACAACATATCGTTTCGTATAACTACATTTTATTATATGGTCAATACAAGATAGACTTGAAGTTGAATTATTCGGAGATGAAAATTTTATTATAAAGACTTTTTTGTGATACCAGAATGTATATGTGTGTATGAAAATATTAATTAAAATAGTTTTTAATCAATATTAAGAACAAATTACAATTACAATAATTTTTTTGTAAATGAGATTACAAAAATTAATTCAAAATAAAATTCACCATATTCACATATTAAAAGTCACACGGTCTACAAAATTGACTAAGTCTTAAGATATTTATACAAAGATAGAAACAGCTTCATAGCAACAATGCCACTGATCTACTCAAGCTCAATAATTTCTTATTATTTAAATATTTTATTAAAAATGGCCTACGTTAACAACTTTTTTAGTCAAGGTAAGTAATATAATAAAAAAAATTTTTTATGATGTGTAATGTGTAATCAAATAATTATTTTTTAACACGTATACAGCAAAGGGTGCAATAAAAGATAGTAGGTATTTCTTGAGAAGGAAAAGGGATTGATCAACATAAAATTTTNATGTCCTATTCTTTAATATTGTAAAACTAATTTTTAACTAGGCTTTAGGATTTTCAAGGTGAAGGTCAAAGTTAAAATATGTATAAAAAGTTTTGTTGTGTTAGTATTTCTATTTTTTCCAAGTAAGAACGTAAAAATACAGTGTCGTGATAAATAAATAGTTTTTTATTGTTCATACGTGTTCAAAGTCTAATTTTTAAAATGAATTTAAACTTAATTCAAAACTAAATTTATTACAGAAAGAAAAAAAAATTATAAGCTATAAGCTTCGACAAAAAAAAATTAATTTATTAACGATCAAAAATCTCTTGCCATACAATATTTTCAATGTTTGATTGATTTTTTGAAACATATTGTTTTAATATATTTTTAGGATTTTTACATCTTGATACAAATACGTACAGCTGTCCAAGAAAAAACAAAGGTCTTCCATAGAAAAATTCTAATTGGTTGAAACTTTGACCTTGTAATTTATTGATTTTTATGGAAAAAGCTAAAACTAATAGAAACTGTTTTCTGTGTATAATTAACGGTAAAAATATTTTTACTAATATTTAAAGTGATCCTGGGTCTGAAATTCCTCTTACTATATTTTTGACAAGTTATTATTTCTGCCTTTGAATTATATTTTAATATTTTTGTTATACGTAGTCAAGTACCATTGCACAAACCATCGAATATACTCAAGTTTCTTATCAACATAAAAATAGCTTACATAGCGGAATGGGTGGGTAATAGATGAGGGATAGAGGGGGATGAAGGGGGGTTAGACGCTGAACCCCCTAAAAACAAGTAAACAATATAGGAAGATTGTCACATAAATGTAGAATGTTGTGTTTCTATTTAAAGTATTAAATACCCTTTTAATAAGATTTACAAAGGTAGTGGCAGGGCTTTTTGTAAATTAGAAAAAGAAAATTAATTGGAAAATCCTTAAATAAAAGATAAAATAAGTAAATACCTTGATGGACGTTACTTAAGTCCCATGGAAGCAACATAGAGACTTTACAAATTTTCTCTTTGTGGTAGAAGTCATTCAGTATTTCATTTGCCAGTTCTTGTGGAAAATAAACAAAAAAAATTTTTTTAAGAAAATAAGGTAGAGAAATCTATTGACGATTGAAAAACTTCTTCGACACCATGGTTCATTTTAAACAAAATAGATGATTTAAAAAAAATCTATAAAGTACGTTAATATTCCAGAATATTACGTATTCATCAATAAAATGAAAAAATAGAAAAGATAAAAAAATTTACAAAAAAATATTAGCGTACGTAAATATTAATTCTTTAAAAGACCAAGAAAGGTTTTTCTTAAAATAAATACCAAATAAAGTTAAAGATGAAGCATCATTTTCCGATTTGAAAATTTTTGATACTATTCTTGTTCTTTGTGATACATTTAAAGAAACAGCTATGACTATGGGATCAGTAGAAAATGATTCACAAGCTGATAATATTTTCAAGCAAGCTAGTAATGTGATGTTGCCATCACAATTACGTAAATTTTTTGCATGGTTTATGATTTCCGAAAACTTTTAAGTAAATGCAATTTGGCTAAAATATAAAAAAATTTTTCGTTGAAGATTGTAAAGGTAACGAAAACACAGCTCTTTTACTTTTAAATGCAATTTTTAATTGTAATGAAAAATCTTGTGTCGATTGTGGTTGACCAGAACAATCTATACACAAATCAGAAAGTACTGTTAACGACGAAATTCAAAATAAAATTTACAAAACAAAATTTGATGAAATGTTTTCAAAGTTAAAAAATGATCAAAAACTTATTTTTTTTAAAGTTACCAGTTAAGAAAACAAAATTTTTCTTATTGACGGTCTGGTGGTTCTGGTAAAACTTTTTTGTATAAAACGTTAATGTATTATTATATTTCAAAAAAAAAAAGTTTTGTCTGTGGCTTGGACAGGTATATCCTTGATTTTATTGCCAGAAGGAACGACGAGCCACAGAACTTTTAGATTACCATTAGATTTAAATTCATACAAATACACCGTTTGAAAACAAATGAATAATTTTAGGAGGTGATTTTCGTCAAATTCTACCTGTAAATAAATATGGTACTAAAATTAACATAGTAGAAGAGACTATCAAATACTCAAAAATTTGAAAATTATTTTACATCTTACGTTCAAAAACAAATATTAGATTAAAAGACAACAAATTTTTCTCGTTTTTATTGGATATGGTTAATGAAAAAATTGATTGTTTAAAAATACCGGAACAATGAAAAACGAACAATGTGTGTACAAGAATTTCAAGTAATGTTAATAGTTCTTTAATAGATAATGTAATAGTAACGTCTAAAAAAAAATCTACTTATTTTTTGAACAATAAAATTTTATATGAAAGGAGAAACAATGACTTATGACAGCACAGACCATGCTACTCATAAAGGAGTTGGTAAAGCAGACGATAATATTTAAATAAACTTTCCAATAGATTCTTCAAATAACGTCTGAAAAAAACTTTTACCACACGAATTAAATTTAAAAATTAATTCTATAGTGATGTTAATACAAAACTTAAGTATTTCCGATGGCCTTTGTAATGGTACAAGATTAAAAATAACAAAGTTATTTGAGTATAACATAGAAGCAGAAATAATGACGGTAAAAAAAAAGTAAGTAAAGCTTGTATTCCTAGGATAACATTGAATACTGGTACTTCATCATCATAACCTTTTGTCTTATATAGAAAACAGTTTCCCTTCGTATTAGTATTTTCTATGATCATCAACAAATCACAAGGACAGAGTTTTGATCCTTAGAATTGTATATTAAAAAATCTTCATTTTCTCACGAATACTAATACGTTGCTTTATTAAGATGTCAAAATCGGAAAAGAATTTTTATTCAAATTGAATCCGAAAATAAATCAGAAATTGAAAACATCGCTTGGAAAAAAATTTTTCAGTAATTCAAAAATACATAACTTTCAAGACCGTCACATCTAAACAAACATATGTTAATTCATAAAAACCATGAAAAAAAAGTATGTGAAAAATTTGAAAAAGGTTTTGAAAGAACAGATGGGTTACAATGACACATAAAATGTCACAACATTAAATTAACAGAATAAATTATTGTTTTAAACGCTTAACTGTCTTTGTCTATTTAACTATATCTGCTCCTAAATTCTGCCTTTTTGTAAATAAAATCCTCAGTTAATCAAAAATCTTATAATTGGGTAAAGTACACATGGACCAGAAAGAGATTCCAAATGTAAAAGTTCGATCAAGTTAAACAAATAATGGTTCTTGAGAGACATATAGTGAGTAAAGGGGAGAGAATAGACAGAGGGGGACCTATGATCAGTGACTTGGAAGATCCTAAAAACGGGGTATGACTTGGGTACTAAATTACATATACTTTTTAACATTTCAGATGGTAAAATATTCTATAAATAAGTATTTTTGGGGGGGGGGGGGTAAAGGGAGAGCGAGAGGAAGCTGAGAGGCAACTAAGGAGGAGCAGGGGGGAAGTTTACTCAATTATAGTTTGATCCAAAATGACGTAAAAACAAGCTAATAACTATGTGAATCGAGGGGGAGCTAAGGGGGTGCTGAGGGTCAGCGGGGAGGAGCGGGGTGGCTGAGACTTACTTTTGTCAATACAACTATATAATGTAGGGAGACATTATAGCAGTCTAATTCTATATACAAACGGGTAATAATGTTTGTCACAATAGGGTTTAATTAGGGCATTGCACAAGATCACTGAAGCCCTTATTAAGAAAGAGCGCCGAAAGCTTTAGCGACTATAGAGAAGAGTGCACTTTCGACAAGCCTGTGATTATGGCTGAGAGCAATTCAGAAGCTTTTACTCAGTCAGTACTACAATGCTCTCATAAAGAATCTCAATCTCATGCCATGAGTCTTCTATTAGATCCTCTTTAACAGTTAGACTCTGTCGATACTGTGGATATCCGACTAGATGAGATCCAAGATGATCTAACCGAGGTCTTCACTTACTTGGACGCTCAACCCTGGGTCAATGCGAGGTACAACTACATAGATGCAGTATTTTGTAAACGTAAGATAGCTAAATCAAGCGATAAATATTAAGTCATATAGACGGGGGAATTGCACGGTTGGGGAAAGGTGTCCAAAAGCAAAGAAAGTTTTAGATTGTCTTAGACAACCGTGGTGAGAGGGTTGATGGTCAAAGAACTCGCACTTAATCTTTTGCCGCGTAACGCAATTTTCAATCCACGAGATAAAGTCAGTGCGGCTTCTTCTTTTTTTCTTGCACAAGGTTCTCAGTTGGGTCGTAAGTAATACAAAGTTGTCACGTCTTGATATTAACATTTTGGCTCACGGACTGCTTAAAAAGATAGTTCCTTGTCACCAAGACAGTAAAACCTCTGTAGTGGTTTCAATGACATACGTTAACTCAACTACATGGTGCTTCGCTTTGTTCAATAATTTTTTGAATTACACGGTTGTTCTTCGTAACTCTGGATTTCCATAAATTTCGTTATATTATGCCACCCATATCGTTCTTGATTTAACACATGAGAAAATATTATTTACGTCATACTTGATAATTTTTGTTTGAAGTTTCGGTCCAACGGGCAATTAGTCACTATCGAAAGCGATAGTTTGTAAAGCACGAGGTCTTTCTCTTTCATTTTCCTTTGCTTATGTTATGCGAGAATTTGTGGCATGCATAACATTGTAAGAAAGCCATTATATTATATCTTGTATAGCTGCTTCATGTCATGGGATGAGTAGAAGTCAATGCAAGACTTCAAGATCTCAAAAGATCTAACTTTGTGTGAATTGCTAAATACAAGTTACATTATTCCTTTACCAATCATACCAATTATTTCATTTTATTTTGATTATATTAGTAAGATCGTGAGAATCGAATATTAAGTAGCTCAATTGTATTCTTCTTTTAATCGTTGTCTTTGATCATCTTTAAAGTTCGTTGTTTGTGCGATACGAACATTTCAATTTTTTCTTACTTGATAATATTATATAAGAGAAGAGACAATTATTTTTGCCCATTTTCTAAGTAGCATAATTTTTTATTACATGTTTGAAGCTTATTGTATCATCAATTAGAATTATTATATAAAACTATTGGTCAAAATAAAAAGAAAAGTTAATATTTCTTTAAGTATTGAAAGTGTTAAAAAAAGGATTATTCTCCCTTACTTTCTTTCACGTTCTGTTATCACTGTATTAGTTTCTAAGCACTTACAAACAACACGAATTCTTGACGTTAATCTTTGCTTTCTTTTTTCAGCGTCACATACCTCACCCTGAATCCCTACATTATCTTGTACATCAATGTTTGTCTTCATATTTTTCAATTCTTTCTGTAGTGATTCTTGAACTAATACTATTTTCCTGCTATTGCTATTTGTTTTCTTATTATACAATAAAGTAATTAAAGTTTTCTCACCTACAATACAATGCTTTTTAGTTTTGTTCTTTAGTGTCAACATTATGGTGAAGAAAAAGCAATATTTTGCAAATGAACATGCAAAACTGACGAAATATGCGAAGAAAAATCTAAAGAAAAGTTTGGAAAAAAGGCATGTATTACTGTAATCAATTAGCATATGCTACGAAAAGTTTGTATGACTTAGGGGTAAGTGTACCTATCTCCGTGGCACGTACTGAAAATTCCAACTTAAATGCACCATAAAAAATGGTATACTAAAATTTTTTGGAATACTTTTTTTTTTAATCTTACATAATCTCTTACGGAATATTAAAAAAAATTTTATGAAGCTAAAACTGCAGTAGAATATTTTTAAAACGAATAAAAACGGTATGCTGGTATTACCGTGGTTGTGTACCTATTACCGTGTACGTATTACCGCGGATGTATAGGGTTATGTTTACGTACGCTCACCGCGGAAATACGTACACAATCAGTTAATGAGCGCGTTGTACCAAATACCGTGGAAAATAATTATTTACTCAAAATATACACAAATATTTCTGTTTGAATTGCATCTAGATTAACTTCATTTTAGATTGTTAAAATTAAAAAATTATTTTATATGAAACATTTCTTATTTTGAGCAAGTAATCATCAGTTTTTCAAAATCCACGGTAATAGGGCAGAGCACGGAGATAGGTACACTTACCCCTAGCTATTAATTGTATAGCAACCAACCTATGAACGACTGACATTAACAAGTTTCATTCATCATTTAACATTGTCAAATCAGCTTTGAAATTTAAAATATTTTTGTAAATAGAAATTTTTTTTTCCATAAAAAATTTTGTTAATAAAAGTAACTGTTTCATCGTAGATGTTTTCTTTTCTCCGTTAAATTCTTGTATACGTAGTATGACTTATTATTGCCAAATTTAACAATGTTTTGAAGTTTTGTTAATTGAGTTCTATAGTTTGCCAGTTCCAATAATACTGACAATATCACAATTTGATGAACAAGAAGAATTGTATCTATTAAAAATGTAGATACAATAGGAAGTTTGCACGCTATTGAATATATATACGAATTAAAAATTAAGTATATATGTGTGTATTTACATGTTCATTGAAATAGTGATTTAAAAAGCTCCTTCACATTTCTCAAAATTTAATGTTTTTTTATTAGAAAAGTCAGAATTATGAAAATAATTCGAAGGACATAGCCAAATTTTCTTTACAACTAAAAAGAGACAAAACATACATCAAAAATACTTAACAAATGACATTCATTATAATGAGGCAGTACATTTTAAGTTTATTTAGGACATCAAACATTATTGAAATTATCTTGAGATACATGTAATTATCATAAAATAGGTGTTTTAGTATTGTTTACTACAAATTATAATACTATTCTGCCCTAATAGTTTTTAGTTGAAACATATTTGCAAATTAACATAATTAGCATGCAATAAACGTGTAGACAAGTAGCAGGAAATCACCTAAAATATTTTGATTGCAAAACAGTGTAGAGAGTCACGTATTCTAAGCGTAGAAGTTCTAGACAAAGAATTTATGAAAATAATAGAGGCTATGAACTCAATTAAACCGAGTAGCTTACAAAATTTTATGAATCTATGGACCGCTAGCAGCTATGACATTGAAGAACATACATCACCACTATTAAGTAAATGCACATAACTATGCGTTACACACATTCATTTTTTATAAGAGCGATTCTAGCCCACAGTGAGCATATAGCTTAGCTAGTAGAACATACCATGTATCATACTGCTGCTATGGTCCATAGATGTGAAAAGCTTTATTTTGGTAGTAATTGTGCTCTGACTCGAAGTAAAAAACTGAAAACAAATTTTTACCCTTAGTAAGAATACTTTCCCAAACTTGAAGCTTCGTGTTATGTGCACGCATGACAGTATCCATCGAGGGAAAAGGAAATAGTATTTTCGCACAGGTATATCACTTTTCTCGTAAGTTATCGGTGCAAGAGATCAAATACAATTGTATCCATAAATACATAGAGAGACTGATTTACAACTTTATACTTTGACAAGGACAAAGAAGTAAAAAAATATTCAAGATATGATCAGCGTTTTATGACACTAAATAAGTTAAGTAATAAATTAATAGTTCAAATAATACGCGCTCAAAGTGCCAGCATCCTGAGAGCAGACACAGTGGCACTGCAATTGGTCAACCGACGAATCAGATCATTTCGGCGATCCGTATGCTAATTTTTAGAGAGCTAGCGCAACAGTACTGCATAATACATATGCATAGTCAGTGGACAATGAGTAGCCTGTGTACCACCAACAGTACGGGAACTTCCTTTCTTACAAAATTTAAGCCGTTAACGTGCATATCCATTCACTTGACCGTTGGTGTTTAATGTGTTAATTAAAGTGATATTGTACGAAGATCGTTATCGTTTTTATCAGAGCTATATCACATCATTCCTAAATTTTCAAAGAATATAGCTAAGAAAACTAATATAAAATAGTATGACGTAGTACACTTACAACAACTATGCTGTGGCCAGATCTTGCAATGACCCATTATTATTATTTGTTTATTTTGAGAAGTATCTTTGGGCAGATATTTATTTCACTATATTATAATATTATGCAAATATTATTGGCCGTAGATTGAAGCTGTAGTGAAAATGTAAAAAATAGTAAAAGTTTGCTGCAATGTTAAAAAAAAATTCAAACATCAAAATCAACAAGAAATTGATACTGTATGTAACAAGATACATGATCAAATAAATTTATCGTGTAACATACACTTAAATAACGAATAATAATAATTATAAGACGATATACTTTGTACTACGCGGAATTCTTTTGTCGTCATGACATAGCTGCTAGCAGTTTTTTTGCTGTGCTACTACTACGCGCTGTCTCTACCATTTTAGCCATTGCTAGACCGTTTGCTCCCAGTTTGTCGTATTATTGTACCATTCATAAAATTTGCCAAGCATTAATATAAATAAAATGTAATATGACATTAAAAAAAAAAGGGTAATCGAATAATAAAGCTGAATATCCGTGTTAAAATCTCCGTGTATCATTAGCGAGGCTACATTGGCTTTTGGTGTGCTAGTACAAAGAGGCGAATTGCACGATTACTCAGTTCTTTTCAGTGATCTGCATGCCAGCCACGTAATTGCAAACATTTCTGGAGGGCTGGCGCAGCAGCATGGTGGTGGTTTGTATAACTAATCAGTTTATTTTGGCTATCCATGCATTGCTTCTGAATCTGTAAGTGTCTTCGGAAAGTTAGCGCAAAGGCGATTTGCGTGAACAATAAAGTTGATTTACTACTGTAGCCAAAAAATTAAGGACTATAACATTAGCTATGATACTGCCGTCTATACTAAGTCAAGAAAAAGAGCCACGCATGATACAAAGTACATTTTACAGATCAAGCCACATCTTCACCGTGATCCAGAATTACTTTTATGATATGTAAACAGTTCGTTCCAACAAATCACGCGCCACACACGTGATTGCGAGTAGTTTTGAAAAGCCAACGCAACAGCGTGGAGGAAGATGATATGACCAATTAGATTAGTTTGTCAATCCGTGCATTGCTCACGAAGTGACTTGCCGCTGCAGTAAGAAAATAATAGACCATATTAGCAGCCACAACTATGTCTTATATTCTTAGTTAAGAGGCACTGCCACGCATAGTACGTTCTACTAATTAAGCGATACACTTGCCTTAATTACTATTTTAAAACGTAAATGTGTACCATGCAAAGCTATGTGTATGCAATTAATCATGTCATGGTATGTTCTTAATTAAAGTAAATGCTACTAAACCATAGGCTTTTCAGTGGAAAACTACTATACAGACTGTCTCGACCATCTTACTGGTTGCTAGAATGTTCTCTTCCTGTTCGTGATCACAAGCGTTTTGAAAAGCCAGTGTAGTGGTGTGATGGCAGATCGTACGACTAATAAGTTTATTTTAGCGATTCGTGCATTTCTCACAAACCGTGAGCACCTTTGAAAAGCTAGCAGAAAGGCGATCTATGCTAAAAATAAAGTTGATTTGTCCCTTCCCTGGAAAAACTATGGACCATAGTAGTAGCTATTACTCTGTCATCTATGTCTAGTCGAGAGCCATCACCACTCATGACATATTGTACGTTCTACTGGTCGAACCATATCCTAAACATGGACTAGAATTACTCTTACAAAACATCAACATCTACCACACATAGCTATGTGTATTTGACAAATCACAGTAAAGTGAGTATGATCTTACACGTGATACCTGCTACCTTGTCATAGTTTTTTAGTATTCTACTAATTTACCTAATGCTAGAACATTTTGGACGTTGTAATATTTTACAGATAGTAATGCTAGTAAGGTGTGTAGATAGATAAGGCAGAGTCATCAATCACTAACCACTGCGTGTAGTAAGTTAAAGTGTTAATTCGAATAGTTTTCGTTCATTACATTCAGTTATAATGAATAGAATACATACTCAACCTTCATTAAAATAGTTATTATTTATGACCACAAGAAGTATGTTCGTAGCTTGTCATGTATTTTAGCGTATAGTCTAAAGTAAGCTTTAAAATGAATGAGATGTCTCAATGTATAACCAAAGCATAAAAAGTGAAAAAATGAAAACACACGGTTTGTTACACTTCTCAGCTTCAAAGTAAAATGTGTAATCTAACATTCGAATTTTTTGTATAACGTGAGTAACCTTTTAAGCACTTATTTATTTGTGTTGGATATATGTATGGTGCACTATGAAATTTTTGTTGGTTAACCATATGTATCATCAATATATTATAATAGTGATGAAATTTGTATTCAATCGAATTAAGGTGTACATCAATTGAACATTAAGAATCATGGCTGCTACCATTTCACATTTCCTTACACATTCATTGGTGATAAGTGGTAGGTCGGTTATGAAGGTATGGGGCTATCCCACTTATACATGTATGAGCTCTCCTGGCCTTGTTTCAAGCCCCCTCTTCAGCATATGTGCTTGTTAATGGAGGGGTAGGAGCACAACTCTCTTCCCACAAGGCCACCCCTTTTATACTTGAGCTCGTTCCCGTGTGGCTATGACAACAGGCTGTGGCCGTAGTACCCATGGCTGCCATATATAACCGTGTGCTTGCCACACTTTTGTACATGAAGCGCCCATGGCTGCCATAAACACCGGTATTCTCATCCCACTGTTCTGCCCACAGTATCCTGATGAGTGCCCTTGTGCTCTTGCCACGTTTTTGCTAACCTTAAATGCTATCATGCTCCTTTTTAAAACGTGCACTGCTAGCACCCTATTAATACTATCAAGCACAGTGGTAGTTTTCGAGAGCTGGTACAATTATGGACTAGTCTCTGTGTGTTTACAAACACATCCACTCTTTGCTGCCTAAGTTTATAGAGCTCCAGCTTTTCTACTCCTGATCACCACTCTTAATTCCCCAACTGCATTTCAACACTTCTTAATAAAGAGCAATGGTAAGAAAGCTAGGAGTCTGAGTCAGTGCTTGAAGTCATAGATGGACACGTCTATCCTTAGCAGTGTCTAGCAACTTACTAAGCTCTTCATGTTCTACTTGCTCCCTTTCTGTTATCCCTTCTTTTATACCCCACTGTGCCTCACAGCCATAGTTCGCACATAGATCCGGGACTATCTCCACCCATGCTGGTATTGGGCTACCCAAGTCCCTGCAAGTGCAAGACCACCATAGTTATAGAAAGACTCATTCAGATCTGAACTGGGCTCTTATATACATATATTGATGGAACCTATTTAAGTAAGCGTGCGTTTTATACTGTATTTTTTAAATTAATTTTTTTCAGCTTTAAAATTATACCTTATAAGTCCATTGTAATAAATACAAAAATAAACTTTAAAATAAAAATTGTATCGCCCTTTATTACATTTAAACCTCGGTTTCGAGAGTAATAGCCTAGAACGCTACAGATTGTTGGAACGCTATCAGAGAGTTAGTATGTACTTTTATCCATCTGTCTAGCAGTCGTTTGTTAATGTCATAAGAATCACAAAAAGATGACCTTAGCATCATCTGTTACTGTCTTGAATGTGACTGAAAGATAACTTGACAACATCTTCAAGACAACTTCAAAACTTGACTTAATTGCTGTGTATACTTATAAAATAGTTTAAAATCATTTTTCACATCAATCATAATGTTTATCAAGTAGCAGGCTTGATAAAAGCCCCAAACAAACGTTTTTATCTGTGAGGTACAACCTTTGAATCCTACCTCTCTAAAACAAGCGTAGCCAAACAGAACTTTTTTATTTCACCGATTTACTGCTGGATGGCGTACAAAAAAATGACATAAAAAATATTTACACTCACTTCATGGGCTCAAACAAGTATAGAAAAAACTTGGTGTACAGTTTAAGTTTATGATGTGCACAGTTGGCTTTAAACGCCATATTGTAATGAGGACAAACAATGGTCAGTTTTATTTTATAAGTTGAAGGATAGCTCAAATCTGTAATATTAATTACCTTGAATTTGAATCTCTCTTACCACTGTTTTCTCAGTTAGCTGAATACATGCACTATCTTTGTATTGTGCAAGTATTCTTGAAGAATTGTTCTTATAGTGTTGTGCAGAAAATTTTCTGATTCTCCTGGTATACTGCGAAAACAGCGCTCCAACCAGGTATTCCCTTCTGTACTTGTCTAAGAGTCTATGTCATGGAAAACTCTCATGAAAAAGAAATAGTATAGGTCCGCTATCAGAATAAAGTTGGAGTATAGCCGATTCCTTTAGAACTAAATTGCTGACAGGCTTTTTGAAGCCTTGCTTATCAACTACGTAACCCGGTAATCAGAATTTTAAATAAATTTTTTCTCTATGAAATTTTTTAAATTTGCAGTTCTCATTCATAATAGATTACTTCTGATTTTTTTTTTTTGTTTGGCCCACTTAACATACCTGTCAAGGAACTTGTCACACTTTTTGTATTTTCTATCGTACTACTTCTTCTGTGCGATCTAATCTTGTCCCATTATGGGAATGACAAATGATTATAATTACCTATAACCATTACGTTGAGAAAACAATAATTTTTTGTTGATTTTTTTTTTACTATCCTTGATAGAAATTTTTAATATTTTTTATCTTTGGTTAATTTGCTTATGCTTGGCTTATGTTGGATACTGATCAATTTTTTTTGAAAAATTAATTTTTAAATAATTCACACATTTTAATCTTTTTGTCGTTCATTTTTTTCTGCTCATTTTTCCCGCTCTTCCAGTTGTCATTTATTAACTCCTTCGCTTTGCTAACCTTTTTCCATGACAGTCGAAAGTGATGTTACGAGAACCATGTGCATGGCTTTTATATAGCTTTATCCTCAGTTTACATGAGTTTCTTAGCATCTCCACTCATTGGACTGTATTAAACAAAACAGTTAAGTAGAATTAAGCAGTAGGCTGTTGTGTTGGTGGTAAAATTAGCGTAATATTCAAGTTTAAAAGGTTCATCTACTAAAGCATTTTTCATTGACTTATTTTGTGTAGAGAAGTCAATGGCAATCAAAGGCGTGACGTCCAGAAAATCATATCTGTTTAACGAAGGGTCCTTACCATGACATAAATTCTAGAAATAAGCATTTATGTCATACAACAGAGCATACTGATTGCTCGTCATACCAAGATTAAGATCACTATCAGAAGAATATTGTGAATTTAAATAGAGTCTTACATTTTTATAATACACTAATCAAACTTGTTAGCACTAGCAACTCTCTGATTGTTTCAGTTGGTGTAGAAAGCCAATATAAAGTAACGTGGTTTTTCTAACAGATTAAAAGTCTTGACTGTCCAAATGTGCTTCAATGTTGTGGGCAAGAGTGGAAATTCATAGAGCTCACACGTACGGAAACGCACAGATATTAATTTGTGTTTTTGCTAATAATCAATAATAATCAAGGAGACAAATTTCATGGAAATCTAACATCACTACATAGAGCATGAGCCACTTGAGGTTTAGTATTAATATTTTGAATTCCTCTCAAGAAAGTGATTCATTAGCATTTGCAGCAAAAACAAAACCTTAAACAACTGCATTTTAATCATTTCTAGATCTGGTAAGTACGAGATCATGTTTTACATCAACCACAATGTTACCATAATCTTTAGCAAAATCAAAAATCACGATAAGTGGAATCAAGACACCAAAATAGCTACCCTCCGCTAGACTTCAGGCATGAGTTCCCTTGCAACCTGAATTCTGACTTAATGCGTCTTGATCTGGACTGAGTATCAACTAATTTTTCATGAGGGTTGTAGACCCACATTCTTACACTTATCTATCCTAAAAAAATTTATCTCATACCTAATTTCTTTAAGTGGATGGTAGATGGCATTATTTAACAGCTTAGTATTCGTAGTTGCTGTATTTCCATTTGTTTCACCTAATTTTTGGTAAGTATTCAATAAACTATGAGATAGAAGCAGACAAAAGTTGTAATGTTAAATTGATATACGGATTTCATCGCTATTACTGCAAGGCCCGGATGCATATGGCTGATGAGCATAACTGTCACAGCTCGTTATGGATTTATCAAAGGTGACAGTCAACTAAATGCTTAGAACCTCTTCTAAGCTTTTTAGAAACTGAATGTTTTGATGTGTATGTTTTTTTTTTTACTAATGTGCTGACAGTTTGACTCTTAGTTGTCGACTGACTGCTAAAGTGGATGTTGAACATCATTGATCTTAGTGTCGCATGTATATAAGAACGCTACAGATTGTTGGAACGCTATCAGAGAGTTAGTATGTACTTTTATCCATCTGTCTAGCAGTCGTTTGTTAATGTCATAAGAATCACAAAAAGATGACCTTAGCATCATCTGTTACTGTCTTGAATGTGACTGAAAGATAACTTGACAACATCTTCAAGACAACTTCAAAACTTGACTTAATTGCTGTGTATACTTATAAAATAGTTTAAAATCATTTTTCACATCAATCATAATGTTTATCAAGTAGCAGGCTTGATAAAAGCCCCAAACAAACGTTTTTATCTGTGAGGTACAACCTTTGAATCCTACCTCTCTAAAACAAGCGTAGCCAAACAGAACTTTTTTATTTCACCGATTTACTGCTGGATGGCGTACAAAAAAATGACATAAAAAATATTTACACTCACTTCATGGGCTCAAACAAGTATAGAAAAAACTTGGTGTACAGTTTAAGTTTATGATGTGCACAGTTGGCTTTAAACGCCATATTGTAATGAGGACAAACAATGGTCAGTTTTATTTTATAAGTTGAAGGATAGCTCAAATCTGTAATATTAATTACCTTGAATTTGAATCTCTCTTACCACTGTTTTCTCAGTTAGCTGAATACATGCACTATCTTTGTATTGTGCAAGTATTCTTGAAGAATTGTTCTTATAGTGTTGTGCAGAAAATTTTCTGATTCTCCTGGTATACTGCGAAAACAGCGCTCCAACCAGGTATTCCCTTCTGTACTTGTCTAAGAGTCTATGTCATGGAAAACTCTCATGAAAAAGAAATAGTATAGGTCCGCTATCAGAATAAAGTTGGAGTATAGCCGATTCCTTTAGAACTAAATTGCTGACAGGCTTTTTGAAGCCTTGCTTATCAACTACGTAACCCGGTAATCAGAATTTTAAATAAATTTTTTCTCTATGAAATTTTTTAAATTTGCAGTTCTCATTCATAATAGATTACTTCTGATTTTTTTTTTTTGTTTGGCCCACTTAACATACCTGTCAAGGAACTTGTCACACTTTTTGTATTTTCTATCGTACTACTTCTTCTGTGCGATCTAATCTTGTCCCATTATGGGAATGACAAATGATTATAATTACCTATAACCATTACGTTGAGAAAACAATAATTTTTTGTTGATTTTTTTTTTACTATCCTTGATAGAAATTTTTAATATTTTTTATCTTTGGTTAATTTGCTTATGCTTGGCTTATGTTGGATACTGATCAATTTTTTTTGANTGTATATATATATATATATGATCTCTATTACGATGAAGGTTTTATGAGTCATCTCACGGTAATGACTTCTTCACAAAAACTAACCAAATTACCATCCTGATTGACAAGGCTTAGTTGTATGTAGTCAATGATGCATCTAACAATTGGTAAGTAGCTAGTTTGTGATGGTAATTCAACGATCTTATGATTTAGCGGTACAGCTGGGAAAAGTTCCTGGAATATATAAACTTTTTCTCTGTGTTTATAGGCTCCAGTAGTGATATTACACTTACTCTTGAGTGTGTTAACTTTGAGAATAGTTACAAGTAAATCTGAGCTGTGGGTAGTGATATCTTCATAAACACGTTCAGTGAAAATTAAGGGACGACCCCTAGAATCATGTTATCTAAAATCAATTTTATAATTACAAGTAATTACACAATGAAATATGCTATTATCAGGTTTTATTTCAATAGCCATATTGTTAGACTGTTATATATCTACTAAAATTGACTCAACATCTCGAATTTTGTAGCTGTTTGCTGGAAAAATAATGAGTTGATCAGCCACGTAAAATTTATTATGACCTTCGTTAATTGTTGGAATCAAACTGAATAATAACAATTTTTTTAAGCCAAAAACGTAGTTATGTCTTAAAGATAACTCAGTAAACGTAAAATATTGTTTTGCAATACAGAAATAATTCCAGATAAACTTAGTG